AAGAAAAATTCCTCCAAGAGGCTTTATAAATATAAATAAAACACACTAACATGCAAAGGTGGTAAAGAAATTAGGCCTACGGAGATAAAACATCTTACAAAATCTATATTTTTGTACTTTCCTTGACTAAGTATCGAGCAAACGTTCTTTTTCAAGCCAGAAACAATATTATTGGTTAATGACAAACTACTTCTTCACGTTATGAAAGGAATGCAATAAACGAGAAAAAAAATATATCGTGAGATAGAATCACGAGATTTAAAAAATATAGTAATGACCATATAACAAAGCTAAAGCAAATAGCTATTGATTAAAACTAAGGAAATAAAACAAACGATTAAAAAAAAGATACATAAAACATACAGAAACATAGTTAAATATGATCAGTTTAAAAAGTATTAAAAGAAATAATTTGGACATTAAAAAAAACATTAAACAAATAACGAAAAAAGAAAAAATGCGCTTTTAATTTATAAAATGCTGAATCCTTTGTTAACACCAAAATAACTTATTCAACCAATATAACATAAATAACCAATATACAACCAATATAACATAAATAACTTATACAACCTTATTTAAAATGCATTTCTTTTTCGATTCTCCGATTCTCTTACAGCGCTAAAATACGGGGTTCGATTCCCCGCGGTGAACACACCAGATAGCCCAAATGTGGCTTTGCTCTAAAACAAACAAACAAAATTGTCCCCGGTGGGACAGTAGTAAGTTTATGGACTTACAACGATACAAACTTGGATTAAATTCCCCGCGGTGGACACAGCAGATAGCCCAATGTGACTTTGCTCTAAAAACACACACAAACTGATTCTTTGGTATGTTTAAATGACCGCCCTTGAAACCGAGGAGAAGGAAACACAATGACTCCTCAACCCACTGTGTCTCTCAGAAACACAATAACTCCTCAACTCACTGTGTCTCTCATAGGAAATTGTAGTTGAGGTGGTTTCCCATTACCTTCCTCAACGGAGACAGTTTACTATTCGATATACTCAACTCAACGGACAAAATGAACGTATTGTCGTAGAAACGGGACGCGAACCTTGAACCTTAGGACTTACAGTCCTGCATGCTAACCGTAAAGCCACGCCTAGCCTCATGTAATATTAAAAGATGAAACTTCCAACGAAATCATGAGGATGAAACAATATATTCGCTGTTGAATTGAACTGTTTGAATACACTTTTGTGATTATATAAAAGTTAATGTAATATTTTAGCACTAATTAAAATGCGCGCATAGATATTCATTTGTGTGTTCGAAGAAAATTTAATAAACTTAAGATTTATTAATGTAATTGGCACGCAAGAACGTATGAAACATATTATTCAATATTTTGTCGCCCCCCTCCAGTGGCACAGCAGTATGTCTGCGGACTTACAACCCTAGAATCCGGGTTTCGATACCCGTGGTGGGCAGAGCTAAGATAGCCCATTGTGTAGCTTTGTGCTTAATTACAAACAAACAAACAATAC